GCCATTTTGCTCGGCACACCACTGCCAGCCCAGGCTCTAGGCAGCAGCTGCCAGCCACGGAGCCCAGGCTGCTCCCAGCAGGCCGCTGGGAGGCTGCAAGCCCTGCTTCCATGGGCCGGCTGCAGCCGGGAGACTGCAAACACGTGCTCCAGGCTCCGGCATGTCGGCACTGCAGCACTTTCCAAGGTAGACATTGTAGTTTTTTCGGCACTCTGGCCAAAAAAAGTTGCCTACCCAAGCTAGAGGATCGAACATTGGGCTGGGACCCAGTTTTATTCCCAGTTCTACCACCAGTTTCCCAGATGATCTTGGGCAATTCACTTCACTTCCCCCATGGTTGAGTTGCCTCATCCATAAAAAAAAAGAATAGTGACATCCTTGATAAAGCACTCTGCCACTGACTCGTGGGAAAAAAAAATCACTATTATTAATATGCTGAACACCCTTCTTAGTAGCAGTATTTCAGAAACTACTTTATTCCCCTTACTAACTGAAACATACTTATTGAAATTGGAGTAATCTCACTGCCCTTCTGAATTTACAATTGATCAAAATGTTAAAACAACATGGATTAAGTTCCATCTCCAAATAAATACCAGTATTACATAGCCAAATCCATTATACAAACCAGACAAAAGTTATATGAACAATCATACTGAGACAGAGCAAGATGTGGCAAACACACATGAAGTATATTTTGCAACATGCAGCCTGATCTTCAAATGCTCACGGCACATATTAAGTACAAAACCACACCCTGCTTTACCTTGATGCCAATATACTGTGCCTATCTAGGTTTCTATATGATTTAAATTGTTGGGGGGAAAAGTAAGTTGATGAATTCGTCCAAGAACAGATTTTTGATTATGTGGTTCAATTGAGCCAGGCAGTTCACAGCACAGAGAACACAGGAGGGAACACAAAACAAGCTGCTTTATAAAAATAGAAAGGGTTTTCCTGGTATTTTCAAATAGATCTTGACATTCAACAGGGATTTGTTTCTCCATTTACCCTTTCTTGTCGTCCTAGTGCAAATGATTTATTATATGCACATACAGATTTTGATACAGCAAGGTGTTTTCAAAAATGTTTTATTTTTGTAATGCATTTGCTGGTCCTCTATACACAACATCACTTTGCATGCAGCTAAGCTCCTTCATCACAGATCTGAATTTTATTAACTGAGCTTTAATCATTTCAGGGACATATTACTGATACACCACTGAAAGGACAATTACAACTTGCTAGATAAAGGGACAGTGTTAGAAAAAAACTAAGGCTGGCTTTACATACAAGGAAGAGTGTACCATATTAGTTGATTGGGAAATGATTCTTGGTCTCTCCTTCTATTTCCCACCCTTACCTTCCCTTCCCTTCATTCTTAAAACCATGTAATATATGTGATAGGCCACTGCCCTTCTATTAATTGTTCTATATGCACCAACACACACTTTTTGACTGGAAGACCTTTATGGCAGGCAGTAGTTTGGTACTGCTTATCTCCATGCCTGTTGACATAAATGATGCATAACATAATCATACCCTAATTGTTGAAGGATTTAAAGAGGGATCTGACACCAGTGTAGTAACCTTGACAGACCATGGGAAAGCAGCCTTGGACAACATCCAGTTTCATATCTGAGTTAATGCTTAGCTATAAATCTAACCAACATGACAAAAATGATTCCCAAGCACTGAGCAGAGCAGACAACCTCTCTGCAAGTCAACATTTCAAACCATCTAGAAACCATAGGGACTCCCAATACTCAGTCTGGCCAGACAAAATCTTCTGTAACTGGAGTCGATCCTGCAGACCCCTAACTCAAGAGTAGTGATCCAATTCTAAGTAACAACTACTTAGTTCCTTTCAAGATAAAGGCTTGTAGCATCCTGCCAAAGAAGGTCCATTAAGCTACTTATTTTTGTCAACTTGTAATATAACCTGTTTGGTTTTCTTAAGGTGATGCAAGAATTAACCACAACAGGTATTTTCCCCATAGAGTCCAAGGAAATAAATCACACACATAGCTATAACTGTCCCAGAAAAGCATAAAATGGATTGCAGTTCACAGAAACTGTGATCTTACCCCTAAAGTTCTTTTCAGTCAGTAATCTCTCTAACTTTTTATGGAATAATAAATCAAAGTGGAGCAAAAGAGAAATGCAGAACAAATTTGCACACAGGAACAGGTTTTGTATCACCACGCTCAAAACTATGTTGATGAAAGTTCACCCAGGGCTCTAGCCTTCACTATAAATGGGAAAGGAAGGATGGAGGAAAGGATTGAAGTGCAAATGCCAAATGTCTGTACAACCCTGAATACTCTGAAGTACAGTTCTGGAAGTAAAATGCCTTGGCAGCTGTATACAAGTTAGGGATAAAACTAAAGAAGCAACCATGCAACTCCATTAGTAACACCCTATGCTTTCGGAACATACTGGCCACATAGGTTATCAAACCTCCAGGAACAGTATCAGAATAGCTTGTACCTTGGGCAGACTGTTCCTCAGAAGGCTGCACACACCCCATTTACTTGTGCTGTGAGCTGTCATCATGAGGGACACTTTACTGCACTCAAAAAAATTGCAAGTAGATGAAAGTCACTCCTTCTGGGCTGGGACCTTGTCTAGCTACGCACTGAAACATCACCTAGCACAAGGACAGGAGCACCCTGAATCTCTGAGGGCTCCTGTCAAAAGTAATTATAGAAAAATACTACTGATTTGATATGTTATGAAAGTGAGTGTGAAGGTGCAGTTAGAGCAGGGGATTGAAAGATGACCTACATTTCTGAGGCCTACATTTTTCTCCCAAAACCCTGCTTTACTCTGATGCAAGCTTATATAACCCAAAGATTCATTCCCTCTAAATTCAAGCTTGCCATGTGGCAGATCTTATGTGTAAAACACTTCTAGTTAAGCCTGGGAAAACGAAAAGTTACATAAACAAAACAAAATCCCCTTCCAAGACTGTTCCACTTGTGTCTGCTGGAGAGTTAGTACATCCTAACAAATTCCAGATTCCAGGTTCGCAACACAAGAAAACTACAGCAACTACATTTTCCCCTGACCAGCGGGGTCCTCAAGCTGTTCCTGGAACTGTCTGCATGCAAGGGCTTGAAATAATTACCACAGGATGGACAGATGGACAGACACACACAGGAAAATCCTACAAAAAAATCAAACACAAGAGGAGTGAATTGGCAACCATGATTTTTTGTGTCTGCTTCTGAAGATTTCAACAACATGCTGCAATTCTTCAGCCAGTCTTTTTTTAACCTGAATCCTACAGCATCTCCCACAGCCCAGCCCAGCAGGTTTGCTCTAGTGCAGACAGAACTCAGGAGGCAGGTCCCATTGCTGACTCCCCCACAGCCTGCTGGGTCACCTTGTGGGAATCACTTCACTGCTCTGTGCCTTGGCTTCCCCACCCACTCTGTAAAGCGACAGCAGATTGTCTCCTCTGACTACTGTGATATAAAGGACTATGTAAGGGGTAGGTATGGTTATTCTGCAAGGATGGAAGAAGCTACAAGGGAACAAAGAAAAGATCAGAATGAATCCTCTTTATGAGGCTCCTTAGTGGCTCCCTCACCTCCTCATCAAACTTGCCTTCTTTGAGGGCTGCTCCACATATAAGAAAACTTGTACCAGCTTCAACTTGAAATCAGCTCAGATACAGCTGTACAAACCCCCAATGCAAAATACATTTAACTTTAAACCTACCCAGGTTATGTATCTAGGGCTTCTTACTACCAGCATTAGATAACGTTTGAATGATGTTGTAACCACGATGGCCCTGTGATGGTCCAGGAGTTATGCGGGAGGAATGGACCGTTGCGAGGGCTGGGATGAGGAATGCTTTGCAGCTGAAAGCTCGTCTGCGTCCAGTTGGCCCAATGAAAGGCACCCCCTGCCGCAGTCCTTGCCTGCTACCAACACCTCAGCGTAACGAAATGCTGATCCCTAATCATTCATCAGTCAGTCTGGGCAAGAGGAAGAGGAATGGTTTGCTCAGAGGTTCAAGGGAAGCAGGCCAGGGCCCTGCGTGCTCAGCTGCTTCGGTCTGAACGGGGCTCATTTTGAGTTTGTTTTTAAAAACGGATGTGAGCTGAAAACCAGCGGAACCAAACAAAATGGGACCCGAGCGGCCCGGGGTCCCGAGGAGCAGTCTGGCTGCAGCCCGGTGCGACGGCAGCGAAATGCCTGCAGCCTCCCCGCGGGGCCGGGCCGGCTCTCCGCTGTCACCGGCGGCCGCGGGCGTTGTCCAGCCCGGCCCCGGCC